GAAGACAATATCTGATTACTTTATAGTCGTTTAATACTCTTCTCTTGCTTTCCGTAAAGACAAAAGCTAAAACATAATGCATAACGTTGCTTTTCGTGCCATTTTCAAGCTTTCAGTTCTTTAACAGATACAATGCGTCGAATTATTTTCTTTACACAAGTTTACAGAAAATAATTTAATTATTTATGTAACAATAACTTTTTTTACTTAATGTCACAAATGCACAAATTTTCTGGAAACCAAAGAACATAATATTATATAAATATCTCATTAAACTCTGTTAATTAGGAATTTAATATTTCACAACTAACTGTAATTAGCTTTAAAAAAATTATTTTATATGAAATGTAAAATTATTAATATATTTATATCATAATAAATTTAGTGGGAGCAAAATTTAATTACCATTGTAACAACACAAACTATTTTATTACAAGTTTTGCGCACGAGAAATATATATCGTGAGAAATACGATAACACTGAATAAAACTCAAATGCAATATTTCCGCGCATAGATTCGCATTCCCTTGACAAGGCATCGTGTCACACGTCCAACTCGAGTTTAACTCGTTTTTGAATTCAAATCCGACAGTGACAGTGATTCGTTCGCCGATAGAGCGGAAAGGCTGGGCAATAACGTCACCGAGAAATTAATGTATTAATTCATGAAACTCGCCAGTTTAAAGAAACGAGAAATGAAAGATAAAGCGGTATGACATGCCGCACATACGTATAATTAACTTTTTCACACTTTGGCAGCCCTCTGTTCGTATTAAGGGACAAAAGGATTTTGCTATCCAACCCGCGCGTTGATCGCGCGAAAACGCGTTCCAATTTCAGTAGCGACGATTTACGGCTGACGCGACCAGCGTGACTATCGCCGAAATTTCGTGCGGATTCCCCGCAAACTTTCTAATCGTTGCATCGCGGCAGATCGAACGTCTATACAGAGAGATCGATGAGCCCGTACTTTTTGCGCAAGAATAAGACAGCTGTTTGCAAACTTTCTCCATAAATTAAAAATACGCCGAAGCACTGAAACTTAAGAAGGATAATCGCGTCAGTAACAGACGATTACAGTCGCGCACTAAAATAAAGTACAATGGGTAATTTAGCAGCTGTAGAATTTCGACTATTTCAACGCAACGACCGAGGCAATAAAGCTCCGCGAAAGAAGGCAAAACGAGATACGGGCATTAAAAAACCGTTTTCACGACACGTTACGCGATAAAAGCCACGTTCGTTTTAAGCGATGCCATATCGCGGGGGCACGGCTTGATCGCTCGTCGAACGGAGGTGCGCACTTTCAATAGGCCCCATCAAACGCGCGATAAAAACTGATTCTCACCTAGGCACCTTCGACTTCGAAAAGGCGCGACGACAGCGATTCGCTGGCGATACCGAAACTCACGGGGATCCGCAGGGTGGATCAGGAGTTTGAAAGTGCAGCGAGGCGATATTGTATAAACGGATGAGAGCTGCCCGTTCCGCGCGAGTGGAATGCTACCGCAAGATCGCAGCGGGTTCGCGTGCGCGCGCGCGCACAGGTGGAATATGTAGTGCGGTATTCGATATTCTTTAGACCCAGCTCGGCGATCCCCATTCAACCTATTCTTACAATGTGTATGCTGGATTTACCTCGTGGAGATAGATATTCCTAACATTCGTTGAAACGGCCGGCTTTACGACAGCTTTCGCGCTGAAAGCTAGAGCTCTCTCGCCCTCCTCTTCTCGCTTCCATCCCTAAAACTTCCCGTCTCTCACGTGAGCGTTCTTCCTCGCTCAAGCATTGATGCGCAGGTATGCATTCCATCTCCTTCGTCTCGCGCAACTGCTTATTGCTCCTTCCTCATCTCTTTACCAACGAAACCAAGCTGCTCCTTGATGCTGGCCTCCGATATCGGCCGCCTTTCTTCTCGCCCTCTTGTTTCTTCCTCTTTGCTTTCCCCCTCCCCCCCTTTTGCACTCTTCACCGACCTTCGCGTCGGCGCTTTTTCTTCTCACGCGATCTTTTACACCTTCTCTTCCTTTTCTTGCAGTTTTATTGCTTCCGCGTCTCTTGGCATCGTGCCGCATCACCTGTCCATACCAATCGATAAATAGCGAGCAAGAAAAGATGCAATGAAAGTCACAAATTGCCGCAGAAAAATGCAAATAATGTGGACGCCGCATTACTTCAGATGCAAAATATCGATCGACGTATTATAATACAATAATTTCTCGCTTCTCCGCGATTATTCGTGGAAACCCTGCGGACCAATTTATTTATATTAGCATGTTGTCATAACGAGTGCCAAATTTCCATACGGATTATCGATGCGCGTATGCGTAGCAACATTTATTTTGATATATATTTCGCGTCAGCGTACGAAAATTTAACGACTGTTCTTTCGCAAGGACTAGTCGGCGTTTTAAAATATTGCATGGTCGCTATCTTTAATTATCGAGCACCGAAGTATTGAAATCGTACAGCAATAAATTATGGGAGCAGCTATACATCGGTCATATTATTTATAGTGTGCTCGATCGCATGACATATAATTTCTCAGGGTTTATGTCTCTGTAAATATATATAATATATATGTATGTGTGTGTGTGTGTTTTTTGTTTGTTTGTGTGAGTGTGATTCCGTATAGAATAAATAAGAATCTCGGCGTGCGAAACTTTTACTGTGACTTTTCTCTATACTAAATCAAATCACGTTTCCCGTTTTTCCTCGGCGGACACCAAGATAAAGACATCTATCGGGCTCCGTGCGCAGAAAGGAGAATATCGTCTTAATCTCGTTGACCTTAATGATAAGACCTTTTACATCGAATGATGGGGCAATATTACTATCCGCTTCCGATAATAATTAATCGGAGCTCGGAGAATGGCGGTATGCGTATTTTAATAAGTTGCAATCTACGTTTGCTAATTGAAATAACGTCGCATCTGGAATATGAGATCATATTTCGCAATTATTTTTTTATTTCAGTAATCAAGGATAATGACAAAAAAAAAAATAATAACTTAACCTGACAACTGTCATAAAAGTGTTTAATCACTTTACAGTTTGAACGCATTACGCAATACGCGCATTAATTTAATCAATATTACTATTTGACGCTCTTTAGTAAATATATCACATAGAAATAAAGCTCGTACTGTGTCGTGTAGCATACATTATTATGGTTAATTACATTTGGACGTCAAAAGGAAGGTACGGGTTTTTAAATAAAAAAACTTACCAAAAAGTTTTCATTAAATTTGTCAAAGTTGCATTCTCCATATTCTTGTATCTAGCACGCGTGTCTTGGCTGGTTCAGTGACCGTCTTTCGTTTTTCGACGCTTCTTCTGCTTCTTCGGAAATGCGCACGTTCAGATACATACGATGTACATATATATATATATATATGTGTGTGTGTGTGTGTGTATCGCGCGGGGTTGGCCGTGCGACTTCAAGTCGAGTCTTGTGCAATGCTTCTACGTAGAAGAGCGGTGAGTATTGGAGAGGCATCGCAATGCTTGGAATGTTTAATACCGGCGCAACGACACGGCACGGAGAAATGGTCGGCTTCAACCGCGGAATAAATCTCGTGGAATCATACCCGACCTGCTGCCATTTCTTGTCTGCCACGTGCTCTCCAAGAAATTTTTCAAAGGCACGAAGAAACGCTTATTGCATTTCTATACGTAACACTCCTTCACGCGCTAGACCTTGCGCGAGCCCACGAATTCTAGGATACCAAGTTCATTTACCAGAAATATTCGCAATCTGTCTTCTCTTCGTCCGCGGAAATGCAGTAAACTGTAATCGAGAACCCCTTTCATTTCGATGGACTCGTATTTTTATGAGAAATAACAAGCTGCTGCTGCACACCACCGTTTTTCTCGTGTTTTTTTTTCCGCAGAAAGACGTTTCTCACGCACTGCCGACTCATTAACACGTCGCGATTCATGACGAATAATTTTATCTTTCTAGCGCACAGCGCTTAACATGCACATACGCGTTGATTCGACCACGTTCTTGCTCGTTAATTCCAGCCTCGTCGGACGGAAGGGTGCGTTTCTTTTTTCTTCGCGGCAAGTAAAACATTCCGCTAATTGCGCGCTCTTATTTGTCCTAAGCCAAATACGAGAGAGGTATCCTTTTGTTTTCCTTCTTCGAACTCCCGCGATTTCGCTATTCTATCTAGTCATCGTTCACCCTGATGGCCCTGTCGTCCGCCGAGTACGCGATGTTTGCTGGACGCGTTTAATTGCTACTGCCACGAGTAGATTCGGATGGCAACGGCGATAGAACGTTCGTTAGAATTTCATTAGGGTCGTAAGTTCGAACACGCCATCGGAATGATTCGCTTTGAAAGGGTTCGAACTACTGCCAACCCTCGCAGGAAGCCGCTTCAACCGTGCTTGCGATGAACGTGGCCCACCGGCCATTGCCGAAAAGCGATTTGTCGGCCTGGAGTCGTAGTGATAGAATGGAAGCGCGATAGCACGAAGCAATGGCTTCGTTGGTACGCGAAATCGCGTGTATTGTGAACGCGATGAAACAGAAATGCACATTCAAGGCCTTGTAGTTCTCTATAGGGCCTAGGACAGAAAATTAGTTTATTGACTACAAATTTTAAAACCGGATTTCAAACAAATAAATATGCATAGGTACAAATTTAGCACCGCTTAATTTTTTTAAATAGAATTCAATTTATTATTAATTGAAGTATATAAAAATATTGTATAGTTTAATAAAAGATGACAGACTAGAAATAAAGTCCAGTTATCTCTGATTAATTTTAATTTTATCGAAATGTAAAACCAAATGGTATTTTTTTTGCTAAAAAAAATTTTTAACTCATTTTCCTAATAACTGAAAAAATATCTAGTGTAGAGGATACGCTCGTTCTCGATATTCCGAATAATTGCGAGCATTGCACGATATTCTCGTTATCTGGGCGATAATACTGTCCGTGTATTTCGACCGTAGAGACGGTCCACCACTTATAAACTTAGGTTCAGCGACAACTTTATCCTTCAGCTTAACATAAGGATCGCTCGTGTACTCTGGAAACTTGCTGAAGCAACCATCGTGATTTCCGCCGGGTTTCTTGGGGAAAGGGACATAGAATCGCGCGGCACCGAGTGTCTTCCTTGCAATCTCGACCGGACGGACGTAAGTGGGCCCCGGTCTCTCATCCTCGTAAGGATTGGGGGGGAAATGATCCAACGGCGCACTAGTCGTCAAGAATCGGCCTTCAGACACCACTTCTGTTTCGTCAAAGTAATGATTTATGTTTAGAATTTAATTACCACCGCCAATTGAAAAAAACAAACTTTTAAATAAATCCAGAAAATTGCTGAATATTTAGCACGTATAATTTCAAGAGAGCAAAAAAATTATGTTTATTAAAAATAATCTTTAGATATAAAAAAAATTAATTAATCAATTGATAACAAAAGCAAATCACTAATTCTATCAAAATGTATACGAAAATTTTAATACTATTTTTCAAGAAAATATTTATTAGAAAAATTTCAAACATTTATAATCCTAATTAATTAAATTTTTAATTTTAACTTACGATTACATATAAAATTTATCTAAATGCTGCTAAACGTTTTTTATATGAAAGTTAAAAACGTTTCCCTTAAAAACCAGCGAGAGCATTCTTTTTTTACGATAATTAATCACGTATGTACAAGCATATAAAACGAAGGAAGTATTCCGAAAAAATTCCAATCTGCGTCTATATTCCGTTCTCTCATTATTACTTTTTCACACAGTGGTAGTTCTTGTACTGCGTTATACGTGCATGTCAAATAATTAAGGGAAAGTGGAAAAAACAACAAAATAACTGGCAACTACAAAATAATAATTTTAGTTATTTTTTTATTAGCAATACAAAACGCGAGAAATTTTCTATTGTTCTTTTATTAATATTATTCTTCTTATTAATAAAAAAATAATTATTGATAAATATACTCAGTTACATTTTTACTTATGGCGATCATAAAGTAGTCACAACGCAAAAGTTATATACATTATAGCTTCGATAAATAATTCAAATAAAAACCGTGATATAAAAAAAATTCATTAAATCCTTCGTAATACTAGCATCTTTTTTAAATCTGCAGAATATTTCGTAACGAAAGAATTATAGATTCCAAAGTGTTTTATAATACGTACAATAAAATACGAAAAGAAAGAAACTTGCTCGACAACAGCGCAGTTCAAATAGCACGTATACACGTGACTTCGGCTCTCTCATCATATTCAGCTCAACATCGAGATGAGCCGATCGTTCTAACATAAATCTCTATTGTTGCTTACTACAGCTAAGCAAAAGTTTACTTTATTTTTAATAGAAAAAAAGATCTTTAAAAACATCGTTTTAAAAAATTATAAAAATATCCGTATCTTTAATTGCTCGCTAAAAAGCTCATGTATTTGATAAATTTATTTTAAAAAACTGTGTAAAAAAACAGATTAAATCAGAATCGTTGCAACGCAAACACATTTACTTTTGCCAACAACTCTTTCGACACGATCATCGTAAGGCTCGTGGGAGTACGACGGATAAGGATTGAGGCAAATATCCGCGTATCCCGGCCCACCAAGCGGATTGGGCTTGATCTTCATATTAGGCAGAACTGGCGTCTTTTTTCTCGCTTCTACCTTCAACTCCGGACTAAAGTAAGAAGATTTAGTGAAGCATCCGTATGAATCTCCGGGCGTTGAGTGCTTCTTCGATGGAGATGTCGGTAGCATACGATCACCAATCTTCCTTTTCTCGTCTGGTAACTGAAATGATCACATACCCATTAAGTGTATTATAATAAAAAATACACAAATTTTGTTTTTTATTGTCTTCTTTTGTTGCGTCTTTGTCGAAGCAAAAGTCTCCAAAATAATACAGTTAAATTAAAAATTTTTTTAAAATTTGACTAAATAATAATATTATTAAAAATGAATGTAAAAATTTGACAAGTAAAGAAATTTTAATAAGGATTGCATCACAATCATGCACATAAAATTATTATTAAATTTTGAAATAAAATTGTAATATTAAATTGAAAGATTTCTTTTTTAAATTATAAGACTTTGTAATTTTAGGATTTTAATTTAATTAAAAGTTAAATGCAATCCTTAACTTTGCGCATAAACCTTTAGTTTCTCACAGTAGTTTTTGTCTTCTGTAAATAATTAAAATATTTTTGTTAAAATTATTCTGTATATTGTAAGGACCCGTTTCTTTGCTTCATCACGCCATAATTCCGTAAGTGCCTCTCCTTCAAAAATTCGCTCAAACTTCTTTTCGAATAATATATTGGACGGTCCGCCGAGAATTTGGCGTCCTTTATCGCGAAATTTCTCAGGCCCTCGGTACGCATCAAAAGGGCCTGGTGAGGGATCGTCAAAGAAACCTGAAAAGTTTTATCTGTGAAAGTATCAAATATCTATATTTATATGCATAGAGATAATTTTATTGATCAAAATATGCATTACCGACTCGTTCGAGATCAGTTTTTCCATATTGACGACCAAGTGCAACATCTATTGTACGTTTTCTGCTCATATTCTTTCCTCTTATAATGTCTATAATTTCAACATTATTATCACTAATTAAAGTAACCTAAAACTTTATGTCAAAATATGGAACAGACATATTTGTATAAAATATGCGTGCGATTTTCATTTTTATCAGAAAAAAATAGAGAGAAAATCTTGACTAAACTCTCTCAAAATTGATATATTTTTACGAAAACATATTAAAATTATAATAATAGTGTTAAATATATAATACTGTGTGCAACGTAAATCACACTGTCGTTGTGGGAATTATAGACTTATGAGTAATTGACCTGGTTGCTGTCAATAATGAGTCGTTCGTAATGAGTTCGCGTCGGCATCAGCGGATATCTACGACATTCTCGTTGCGGTAACAGTGGAAACGTTTCATTACAGTCTGTTTGGAGAGACGGCATACTGAAGGAGTTGTACGCTCGTAAGAGCGACTCTATCTGTATACTATTAAGTCTTGTTAATGTTAAGACAGAGAAGTTGCTGATGTCTTAATAAAGGCACGTTCAGTAAACGTAGATGTGACAATTTATGTTTATAATAATACAAATTTAAATTTACAATTAAGGAGTTTACAATACTCGCGAAAGAGGTTTACATTTAATTTCGTACACGCAATATTTTTTACTATCTTTTGGAATTGCCAATCGAGTTCCTTCTTCCCGAATGATTCGACCCGGCGGCAATGTCGTTCGACCGAAAATTCTCGGCTCCAAAAACCCGAGTTCATCTTTGCTCGTAGTCATGCGTATGCGTCAACCCGGTAATTTCCACAAGTCGCTATCTGGCACGACGCTTCCGCGCGATCCTCCGTGCAGTTTCGCGAGGCGGGGCGACAACGGCCGCGATAATAACTAAACTTTCGATTGCCAGGGCGAGCCATTAAGATAAGACTTCGAGGCGGCTAAGGAGGACGCCCGCTTCTCTCTGAACGAGAATAGTTGCGGAATCTGTAAGGAGCCAAACGGACGTTCTGCGGGAAGCGGATAAATAGAAAAACGGGGTAAAGTCAACGGCAAGAAATCGGCAGCAGCAGGAAGAACGGGCGGGGAATGGCGGAATGAGAAAAGGAAACCGGGATAAAAAGAGGGATGGACGACGAGGGTGGCACCAAAGCGGAGGTGAAAGTGGTAGAAAGGTCGATGGAGATGTCAGTGGTGGAAATAGAAAAATGTTGATATACATCGGTCGCGCGATAAGGCGGTAGATCGATTAAGATTAAACGTCCGGTCGCCGAGAGTTTAAGACAAGTTACATTGGAAACTCGGGATTGCCTTTCGTGGAATTGAAATCAAGGAACGTGACCGTTTAATTTGCAAATGGAAGAAGAACAATTGGCCCGGCTCAGCTTGTCTCGCCTCGACTCGGCGCGTTGCCGGCACCACCGGGGAAACCTTTGATAGCTCTGTGCGTCCTTTGGTCGCCGAATATTCCCTGGTGCAGCGTTCGGACACACACGCTACAATGTTACGCTACGCGTGCCTGCTGAAAATTAACGCTTAAAATAACCTAGAATCACGAAAGTAATAAAGATTTAATTACAGTGGCACGATTTCTCGACAAGCTTAGATGAATCAGGTTGAAATTTATTAAAATTAAAATTGTCGATAAAAATCTTGTCTCGCTTCATTGTGCACAATTAATTTTCGACAAAAATTCGTATTTTTTCACTTGTTATGCAGCGCACGTAGATTCATATGGTTTAAATGTCTGGAACACATGGATACCATTTTTCTCTAATATCGTGATATTTTGCGCTCGATCGTCACCTTTCCCAAAGTGCCCTGGGAATCGCGTAGACATTTTTGGTTATTGCCTTACCGTGTATACTTCGACGGGGGAGTCGAAATTGGAAGGCGGCAAACGATATCGACAATTTTCAAAAGGTCGCGCACCGTCTTGATTCGATCTCATTAGTAAGAGAGGCTGACGGCGGAAAATATTCATCTTGAATACCTAGTTTAAATTCTAGTACATTCAGGAAGATTACAAAAATTGAAAAAAAGGATCGATCCGGGTTATCGTCTTAAGTGGAATACGCTCGAAGAGAAATGTCCCGTCTGATTTTTGCCGGATTCCAATTCAATCACACTGATCCCGCGCCATTCATTTCTGAGAAGGCTTGCTGAGAAAACAAGTCGTCGGTAATAGTCGGCAATAACAGTATATTCATGAGTGAGACATACAAACGGGTTTATTGTATAAGTGTGTTCTGATACGGACCACCCAGTGGTTTAATAGAAGTGGTCGCAGAAGTGGAGAATTATCGATGCCGCGGTAGCAATGCAGAACCGTGTCCATTAATTTAACGTTAGCCTAAGGGAGTTTAAATAATTAATCCGACGACCTGGCCGGTCGCGATTAAACGCTACAATTAAGCCGAAGGTTCGCCAGACGTCCTTGCCGGAGACCGCATCGTCTTTCTATATTCTCGTTCCTCTTTGAGAGAAAGAGAGAGAGAGAGAGAGAGAGAGAGAGAGAGAGAGAGAGATATGCGGATCAGCAGGGACTATAATGAATACTTTATCCTATCTCTGGTTGCAGATATACATCGATCTTCCTATCTATACATTTTTACAAATATTATAATGCTGCTTTCAGATTGCAGTTGACATAATAAAAGGAAACTTCGAATATGCACAAAATGCTTCAAAATTTATATGTATAGTGTATAGCTTCAGAATTATCGATAAAAATTTATATTTAAAACTTTTTAATGTAAAATTTAAAACTGAAAAACATCTGTATATTTTATCTTCTGTATTCACATCTGTATTTTACATTTATATTTAAATTTACATTTAGAAAGTTTATTTTAGATAAATAAACCAAAGAATTTGTTTGAATTATATCTCATTCAAATAAAACATCATATTTTTATTTAAAGAGGTATGATCAGATATATGATAAAATATCGAATGGTTATGGTTAAAGAATAATTTCACTAAATTATATATTTTTAATCTAATATACAACGTGCTGTACATATCCGTGTGCTAAATTCGCAAATTGTACATCAACTACGAGACGCGTTTACCCGTTTGTAAAGTGATTAGCAGAAGAAAGGACGACGTTGTCCAAAGCTGTATCACTTGCATAGCGATGAACTGCGTACGCACTACTTGAGCCACTCCCACTCTCCGTAGTCAAAGAGCCAAACTGTTTATACTGACTGAGTGTCGCGATTGTTGGCAAATTGGCGGTGGACGGATCTGTCGACGATGGCCGAGGTTTGATGAAGTAATGGATGTTCTCTGTCGACGTGTTGACTCGACCAAGCCGTATACATTGTAATGGTACGTACACACAATGCCAACAGGCGACGTGGTGACTGCCAATACAGCGTTCGGCTTTGTACGTAAGCCCAATGTGTACGTAGGTACACAGACATCCGTATACAATGCGTACTGACGTAACGTAAGCCATCGACTGTTCTTGCCCTACGTCATCCGTTTTATCATATGGAATTCCTGTTAATACCTTTTCGGTGTGGCTTTCGCATATTCGGATTTACAAGCGCATTTTGCAATATTTTTCATAAAAAACGTACTTTTTTTTTTAAACACGGCGAATGTAAATATATTGATCTGTTAATTCGATTAAACGGCGTAGCGATATATCCAGCGCGAAAGAATGATTAGGGACGAAAAAAATTGGACGACGTGATTTTTATGAGCGAGACCATATAGTACCGTCACAGTCTTGTGCGCCTTTTTCCGAACACGCGCGACTTGACTGCGTCGAGATGATGCATAGCCCATCCGGCGGTATGCGCCAGAAGATTCTATGCGTCGCGTATCCACTACGTGCCGCCGCAGTGCGAAATTATGACAAAGGGTTTGTGTCTTTCTCTGCTCTGCCATCTCGCAAAAAGAGAAGCGCTGTTCCACGCGCGAGCGGTAGGACAATGGAAGTACATACGAGGGAGTGTGCAACAGCATGGTGGAGAGCTATCGCGAAATAAAGCGGTTTATTTCACCGACGTTGTTTTAGGAATACCTGCATCAGGGTTGCTTGATATTTCCTGTAATCAAGGCAAATATCTCTGCGAACGTTGATAAATAGAATGCTTAACATTACTGTGTGTGTATACCGTACGTGATTGTTTTTACATGTAAATACGGCTTTTGTTTCTTTGCAAGAAGTTGACAAATTTTAAAACAGATTTTTTACTTATTTCACTTGCCGTTTACAATTGCAGGTTTATGGAAAATTGCACTTCTGATGATGAACTTCTCTTTTGCGACAACCGATACTTAAAAAAAAGTAAGCCAAATTACTGGGCATCGCGTTTTTGCGATTTAATTGCTAATTGTATACTCTGTGTGCGATTTTCGTTTTTTATTGCATTTTCTCGCTGAAACCTTTCGCATTAAAGATGACCTGATCACGGGTCGAAACGTGTGTAATTTGAATCTATTAAAAATATAATTTTGCACGCCACGAAAAACCAGCTTTGGCTCTTAAATCCTGATACTCTGTAATTTCTATTTTTATTATTTCTGTTATATTAAAACATATTTAACCATTCGAATATTTTATATACAATCATTGCCTTTATTTCTTTGCGAAAAAAATACCAATTTTTTTCTGGTCATATTAATATATTTAACAAGTCAAATTGTTTCTCAACAAATAATTTATCAAGTTTTAACACTATCATCAATTTTAACACACCGGAAATTGCCGATATCGCACATAGAATCCTGCAGAAAAAAAAACGTAGAAAAATACACCGCGGTAGTTGCGTGGAAAGAAATTACGAGCAAATAACTTGTCTATTCGCATCCGGATGCACACTCATGCGCGACATTACGGCATGTCGTTCACGTCAACAACGGTGGGAATATACTTTACCTTTGCGCTCCGTTTTTCCTTTCTGTTTCACTCCCTCCAACCTTTCACACAGCGAACGTCAGTGCCACCATTCTGATTTAGTATTTTTCCAGGACACTATATTGCTGAAAAGGGAGCTTTTAAAAACCACGACGCTTAACGCACCCACCGGTCCCGGAGTATGGCAATGGGGAGCGTTCTTTTTTCCGCCAACGCTCTCCCACGCTGTGTTCGTTTTTTTCCAATTTTTTTTTGTCCGGCACTCGGGCACTCCGGCGAAGCCTCTTCCGGCGGCTTTTATCGTAGCGCGACTCGTCCGGTGAGTTTATCATTGTGTCGCTTGCCTGGGCCGCTATGAAACCCTTGAATAAGTCTTCTTGACCGTCACGTCGAAGGGAATCTTCGTTTTGTATATATGAGAATGTTGCGAGAGAAGAAAAATGTCACGAAGAAGAAGCGAGTATCGATCACGAGTACGATTACATAACTTTTCTTAAGTGGTATCAATTCCTCCAACTGCGTCGAAAGTAACCATTAAAAGAGACCTCGCCTTTCGACGAATAAGATGACTACAAAAAAAAAAAAAACAATAAAATTGAATTAATGGGACATCTTTTCGTAACAGATGTTAAGTAACGTTCTGTCGGTGATTCGACTTCGGCAACTCGGATGCTCGAACATAATTCAAAACCAATAAAAGTTCATTAAATTCGCACAATGGAATTAACACGCACGGTGGAAAGGGCTCGAGCCAATTAGTCGTTTGAATGCGAGGACTCGCAGCGCAACGTTTCATTATTATATTCTGAAAAATGTCATTATCGGGACGAAAAGGGGAAGAGTATAAATGAAAGTACACGATCAATTAAGTACTATACATTTTATTGTATCCTGCAGTCGGGGTCTTTATAAATAATGAACAGTGAATACCGACATTAAATGAGTTTCCTATTTGTCTCTTTCTCTCTGCGTTTGCTCTGATGGACGACGATTGGACGCCGTAGATTCGTTTGCTTTATAATCGCATTAATGATGATATAATAGTACTGATAACTTACAGATGCTTACAGACTCGCTTTAACCGTTATCGTGAATACGTACATTAGTATGGGATGTGTGTGGGGATGAAATATGATTAGTGATGATAGAATATATTAGAGAATGTGCACACGCGCGCGCGTGCTTTCGCGCGGCATACGTACAGCCACACTCACACGCTCGTCATTCCACATCCGCACAGACACATTCTGCCCCCGCGGTTTAACTTCTAATTTCGAGTTATATTATCGAACACACGTAGATTATTTTGCTTGCAATCTCTCGCGCATTCATATACATTCGTATACATACCCACGTGATATTATCCAGAAACTTGCGCGCGAGCGGTAATCGTCACGTCGCACGGCGGACAACGGCGGCATACTGGCTGTGCAAAATGAAGAAAAAGAATTAAAAACGGAACGACGCTTATTCCGGGGCCACTTTTAATTAGACTTAATTTCCTAAAGATTGCGAGGTCAAATGCAAAAAACTCCTCTAAGCAAAGATTATTAAAAACGGTAGCATACAGATAAATATGTAAATTCGTAATACAAAAATCTACGAATTGTATTGCTCTCGCAAATGAAATCTATGTAAGCTAATTTCATTTTTGTATTGCACCACCAGCGTTTTTAACTATTACGTATATATTTATATTAAGTTACAATGTATTAAAACAGTTGATTTCTAACGGTGGAGATTTTATGAGTTTTAGAAACGGTAGAAACGTTATCCCGTTGTCTGTTAACAAATTTATTATTGAATCGTATTTTTTCAATAACATGTAATATCTTCGGGACTCGCTTGGACCGGTAAAAATACAATAATATTTTTTTCTCTTTACACGCGTTAATTCTCTTGAACTAAAGCAAAATAAAGCCATTGTTATTGTTATATTTTCCGTGCACTGCAGTTGAAAACTTTCCTTTATCTTTCTCAAAAATGAATTTTGCGTGAGAAAATGTGGAACAAGCAAACAATCGAAACAGATAAAACTCGGTCATATTGTCTGTCGACAAGCGAGAATGAATAGTCCGTCTGCAAAATTTTCGCTTACACGACCGACATAGTTGTAAAACTGTCCGTTGATGTTTGCGTACTTGACATTAATTTGCAAATTGAGCTCCCTCGAATTCAATCCGTTTAGATCTTTTGGATTTACGGACCGTGCATAAAGCAGAATATAGACGACGTCTCTCGAAACTTTCATTAAGAGGTAGAAGAACAGCGACATCAGAAGGAGGCAACGTCAAACCAAAGAAATGCAAAATAAGAGAGAAACCGCAGAAAAGCGAGGAAAGCTCGAACGGAAAGTTTGCCCTACAAAACATTCGGACGTCGTTGCAATTCAATACGTTTCAATATTCTCTCTCTCGCGATTCGGTCCTGTCTCTCGCGCGAAATCATAATTAAATTTATCGCGCGGCCGCTGGTTACGCGCGGATGCGGTTTTTGCGTAACGAATCGCGCGCAGGCGCGCCCACACCCGTCTCATTGAAATATTTTGCACCTGCTCGTGCAATAATGCTCCTGTTAAATTATCACATTACACAGCCGGCGAACGGCGGCGTTGCCTCGAGTAGAAACTACTGATTTACGCCAAACTAACCGTACGTCATTGTCAGGTAGGGCTGCTTAACGGTTCATTTTCCATCGGCACGATCGGCAATTTGTTGCTCGATCGATCCTTGTCTAACCGTTGCGCTTTTACGGTGTCGCACGTCCCGATCCCGCACAGTTCTGCCCGAGTACATCCCTAATGCAATCGTATACCTCACCGCAGTACATTGTGCGCGCTATAAAACTTCTAAAATGCAAATGCTACTTGCGCACGTTATTCACTGGCTCAACTAAATTTTTTCTGAATTTAGTTTACATATGCGCGTATGTTTTTCAACTGTTTCATATCCCTTATACACTTTTTAAATATTTGTTTAATATTAAATTTTACTATTAATTTTTAGTGTTAAAATTCTCTCTTAATTTCTTCAAAAAATAACGACAAAACATCGTGTTTGAAATACTTTTTTTAAAAATTTAGATGTATGTATATTATTACTGCATTTCCAGAAAAAAAAATTGCACATAAAAGATAACAATGTAATATGTGTAAAATATAAGACTTTTATAAAATGTCAAATCGTAAAAAACTGCAAACAAATAAAAAATATATCTAATAACTAAGAGAGAAAATGGTAAAGTTTTTATATTAACATTTCTTTTTAACAGCCAACAAAGTTGACTTGATGTTCGTCCACGTCAAACATATTTTAAGCGAACAACGATGGATGAAGCATTCTTGTCGTCCACGTCCGTCCCATATTTTTCGCGCTGCGTGCCCACCCAGCATGAAGACTAACACTGAACTATAGCAAATATACCACAATCGTTATTTTATGCTCGACAAACGCGAGCGATTTCTTCGACCCATTGCGAGCCACGAAAATATTGCTTCCACCAGATAAAATCGAGTAATAAAGACACACCTTGTGTGGATAGGATCCATGTTTTAGCGAATCGTCAATTATTTCATCCGCAAAATTGCAATATAAATATTGATCGTAAATAAAAAATTTATAATTTGTTTAAAAAATATTAATTATAATGTAAATTAAAAATGTAGATATGATGATATGTAGATATATGGACCTATAGTTTTGTAATTATTAAAACTTGATCAGTGCCAAACAAACAAGAAAATATTTTTTATCGCTCTGCATACTACAGAGTGTAATTGTACAGCAACACGGAACAATCAAAATAAGATTTTAAATAAACTAGTAAATTTTTGGTGTTTCAAAAATTGATCAAGTACATATGTACTATGTGCTCGTCGTAGTAGCCAGTGTGCCGAAATCTTTGGACGGTGTCGTTCGACGAATTCGCGTTCGACGTTTCGAAATCTTATAATGTTATTCTCATACTAAAGGTACATAACAGTGTACACACATAATATAAGTTCAACAAATATATATGTATATATATAAAAGTATATATATACAAGAGTATATATATACATCTTAGGATTTTCTAAAACACATTTGCTGCACCTTCGCAACACTCGTCCTCTCCAATCGATAAAAAGTTTTTCGTTGTTACACTCTTCGAGAAATAACATATTAAAATTGATAAAAGAATAATACATTCATGAATGATGCATTCACGAGATTTAATTTATATTTAAATCAGACGTAAATAGAATATGTATATGTTTACGTCAGTGTACTATTGGAAACCACCGGTTGTTTAGAAACCGGATGTTTCGCAACAAAAAATAAAATAAAAGTGTCGTCGATTGCAGTTGATCGAATCATCACGTGGCTATTTTTCTATCACCGCGTTACAAACACACGTTTACAGATAATCGCGCATTACATATCACATGAACGGTATCTCTTAATTAACGGATCCGCATTCGAGCATTGCGGACGCGCAAATAACGCGCACGAAGACAACATGTCAAGATGTTAGTACCAAGAACTCAAACGTTGGGAAGCGAGGGAGAGAGAGATGAAAAGTTTCTCTACCTCTTGTCGAGATTCGCAAGCGCGCGTTTGTAGTGCGAACGCTTTAGTCGTCCTTACGCAAATCTCACATCGATCGCCGCTGCAAGTGATTAAGTCAAGTTTCACGAGAGACGCCCAGAAGTGTCTGTAGAAACTGATACGCCGCCTCGCGTTCCAAGCGATGAAATTGCGAGACACGGTGCTTGCTAGCGAAGCCACTCCGTCCAAAAGTTAAGTCCACAATCGAAACGAATTCGGATTGGATATCTCCGTCCGCGTTGTCGCACGCGCGTGCATGTATTCCCGTCTCGCGTGAGAATATATAACCGTTCTATGTAATTCGCACCAATTGCATGCGGTTTTCCCGCGCTGGGAAGCGAAGGCCCTAACGCCCGAAGTTGTCCGTTCGAGGCTGTTCGTTTCGTGGAGACATTTCGAGCGCGTAGAGTCTCCGCGGGGAACGAGAAAGTTAGCACCATTCGAATCGCAGGCCCGAAATGCAGCGGGGTCATCACGGTCACCTTAGGAGCGACGACAGTGATATCACAACGGTGAGGATGAAGGTCGCCCTCGGGGCCGAGGTACCGCCGTGTTGCATGGCAGCTGGATTCTCCCCTGCAAGCAATACGGAAACGCATACGCCATTAATTCAATGTAATTGCTCTTTCTCTCTTCACTTGCAATATTTTTTTTGTTTACGATGTGCCGAATGATATTTTCGAGACCGCAGGCCAAATTTTTGAAAAATGTTTGAAATGTTTTGGGGAAAAAAAAAAAACGTCGCCTGTCCTCGATATTTTCACTGATATCGCATCACGAGCGGCGCGTTGCAGATTAAAGTCGAGTATCATTTTTCCAACACACATATTCTATACAAATATTGTATTTCATACGAACTGCGGCTTACAAGAGGCGGATACCGGGCAAAATTTGTGTTATTAAATCGTCATCCTTCCCAATAAATCAAGGCATTCGTTATATTTTATGGTTTGAAGTTATACCAGTTTCATCCTTTGAACAAAGAAAATGAATTGTGTTTCCGATTTAAAAATTTAGTAGCAGAATGGATTTCTAAGAAAGTGAGAAAGAGTGGGTTTTTAAAAGAAATAACTTGAGTTACATGTGAAATCTCCGCTAATAATCGAGAACAATATTTCTTTTTCAAACTTCTACTTCGAAGTGGTCGACAAATGTCTTGTTATTACAACGTTTCTCTCCCATTCGTCTGTTTTTTATCTTTTTCCAAATTACATTTTTGTCTTTACGTTTATGACGTGGAGTTATTGGCCTCTACTATCGCAGTGAGTCTATTGATCTCTGTAGCATTTATTCGCCCAGCCAGTTATCAGCGTCTCGATACAAAAAAGAACACGTAGAAAGTTGTATAATAAATTGCCCCGCATTCAAATCATCTCAATTTATCTCACAAAAAACTCAGAATGGAAATAAAATACTTATATTTTGTGTGTGTGCGTGTAGAGGGAGGATGTACATATTTAAATGCGTTGTACATATTTAATTACAATACGGTGTACATATTTAAATAATAAATAATTGTAATAAAGTAAATAAATAATAAATAATTTGTTCTCCACTGTAACGAGCGAAATATATTTCACACCGATCGAGTAATTTGTATTTTTATTTAATTTATAACGAAATACCATGATAAAGGTCGAGAGATTTGGCACACATAGTGATCGCGGCCAATGCACTATTTGGCTTTTGAATCGTCAAAAAATTCAAAATAAACGCGCATTTGGCCACCTATAAAATCCGCGGCAAAATATCAAATGTGGCGCGCAATCCAGCGATCAACGGTGCTCAAACGTGACAAGGGCTTGCGGTTCGCAGGCACCTTTCGTAAATATAATCGATCAAAATCACTCGTAACAATCGCAGGAAAAAAATCGCTTTTAAAGCACACGAAACAATTGAAAAAAAGGATATCATTGACATGCCAATTAAATGGAACGAATAATAATCGAAATATTTTTCTATGGGAAATTTCATCAATTTTAAATAACTCGTGGCATCGCATTTAAAAATTTATATCACGATTGTTAGTTAAAAATTGAAGGCTATATTGTTATTAATCAATTAATTTATTGCATGAGCTATTATCAGTTTTTTAACCTGACATTTAATCTCTCGAATCTTTCACAAACATTTAAGCATATGAAATTAATAAACAATTTTAATACATATTATACACATGTGTGTGCGCGTTCGCTTCTAATTAGACTAAATTGATATAATTTCATATGAGAAAGTATTGGTGATCGCCTAATATATTCTGGAATTCGTCCAGTTGACAAAAGTGAAAAGGATTCATGACATTTAGTGTGCTCTATGCCTAGTGTATTTATCTACGTACGTGCATGCAACGTGTTGGCACATGCAAATTTCTCTGCAATTCCGCATGTAATCCGATGATGCAATTGTAATTTCCTACATTTAATTGCAAATATAGGCTAATAATGTATGTTTCAACACACTTGATTCTATAATGTGTAATATCGTGCAGACGGTAAGCGTTTTCATTGCTAACTTTACGCGAAATGCATACAGATGTATTTGCTAGAACAGAATTATGTATATTAAATTTATTATATATATACTTGTATTCAATTTACTATCGCGCACATGCCGTTTTGCTCTTCTTCCAGTGACCGTTAACTTCATAATTTCTCTTTATTTTTTGGCACATTAGAGAGTTTAGTTCAATCGATTCTAAAGTTGCTGCGTCGAAAACATGCTGTCCGCGCGATAGTTAGATACTCTTAGCGGCCAGTCATACGAATGGCCACCTCTCTTTCCAGATTCAATTAAACGCTCCCCGCTTGAGAAAAATTTACAACTCTGTTTACGCGCTTTCCCGGTAAACCGGCTCTTAATCCTGGATTTTCGTCTCGTTAATTGAATCGTCTGAATCCTCACCGGGCTAAGACGTCCTGCGCCTTATTGAGAATGCTTTCGTTAATCCAGCAAAGAAATGAACCTATATTCTGGACTGTCGCAAGAAAAATTGAATTCTAACGCTTATTTCAGCTGAAGAAAAAATATAGAGGAAATGCCAAGCTGTTTGTAAATATTGGGTTGTGTAAATAAGTAATTTCAGACTTTTTTAATATATCTGTGTGCTCTCTTTTTTTTTTGTCGAGTAAAGCGCAGTTTGATTAACACGAAAATTAAATATTCGTTCGTCGAAGTTGTAATCAAGTTCTGCCTATATTTACGATTTTTTCACGTTGCGTAAAAACGTGCAGCGTAAAAACATAATAACACCCTCCCTCATCGCACGGGGAAACGCGAAATCACTTATTACACAACTCGATAGATAACAGCTGTGTAATAACAAAATTAACATAAAATTTTTTTAAGTCGTGCATAATATTGTCATCGGTTTATATAATTGACAGTAATCTATTCATCCGACATACACATTATGCACATAGGTTCGCCGTTCAAACGCTGCTTAATTACGAATTAATTAGCCGATCACTCATGCTGCTCGCATATATACGTGATCCCTTACAATATCGCATGCATGTCTGCGTAATTTTGCTTTACCAATCACGTATTACATTATCGTACAAGTATTGTAGATTAATGATAGCAGATTCTTCATGAGTTTGTCAAAATCGACCGCTTCGGTTTCATTTGCTGATTACTCTCTTTCCTCCGATTTCAATATGAACTTATCTAACGTGTCTCCATTAAGCTTCCAAGAAACCACGAATTAAATTTAATTTCAAGTATTGCAGCAACCGTTTGCTACAATAAAATTAATTGATGTCATTTCACGACCCCAAGTCGAGAAGAAGCATAAATTTTAATTCGCGGCACCGAGAATTGTATAATATTCCACGTAACCGCGCGATTAATCACACTCGGCAACTCGGAGGTATGATTTTCTTCTGCCTCCGCCGGATCTCCAGGAACGGAGGGCTCGAGAGTGCCCGGACTTAAAGAATCGTCGCGGTAGAAAAAGGCGGATGCGAAATGAGCTGTCAAGCGCCCTCCGGAAATTCCTTCTGTGTATTATACACGGCCGTGCGCGCAGACGGGGACCTGTTAACTACGTCTTGCGATGAGAGCTTTGCAAACTTCTCACGCCCGGACTTACGTCGACGACGACGTAAGGACGAGGATATGTGTGTGAGAAAGAGAGAGAGAGAGAGAGAGAGAGAGAGAGAGAGAGAGAGAGAGAGAGAGAGGAGAGAGAGAGAGAGAGAGAGAGAGAGAGAGAGAGAATGAGAGGGTGGAAGGGGGGAGAGGGTCAGACTCCGACGGTGCGCAGTGATGCCTAAGAGGCAAAGGCAGACTTCCGTGTCATAGAAGGGATAGAGGCGGGTCGACGTGTAGTCCTCCCGGAGCCTGCGGCTACGATTATTAATGGGCAGGGCGTGACACCCCGCGAAATAACCTCTCTAACCCTCGCTTCCACGCCAAGACCATACCGGCCGCCGACCGTCCGCCGCCTCCCAACTCCCGGTCGCTTGTCTCCTCACTAGGCATTAACTGGGCCAAGAACTACTCATTCCCGCGGAACGAGCCGCATCCGCCAGCCACACATTCTCTACGCCTTTTCACCGCTATCTCGCTATCGTCTGGCTCCATTATTCCGCCCGGTCTACTGTTTCACGCTCCTATTTTTCTAGTATCACACTGGACTTGTGTGCTTTCCGCCTCTATCTGAATTTTTCTACCGACAAATTTTTTGCTTCACAGAGCGAAGCTTGTTCTATAGAATATTTTATATATTCGAAGCGCTCTTTCCGACGATAATTTTTTACTGAAAATTGCAAAGAGAGCGGTAAGATTGTGAGGTGAAAACCAAAAAAGAAACGGAAGGAGAAAAAGATGTTGTGCGAGGAAGCTCTTGAGGCGAATACATTAAGACAGCATTAAAGCGCTTCATCCGGATTGTCTCGATTTAATTAATAACTGTAACGTATGTCGAGAATAATAATTAATTGTAACGGAATGTTCTAGCGCACACATATACTGTTAAAGGTGTATTAATTGGGAAAAAAGCAACGAAAGCTGCGAGAGTACTTACATCATACGCCTCGCCAGAGAGAAATTAAAATCGTTCTCTTTTGTTTCCATATGTCCTACCTCGCGGATGTTCTACGGGCAGTGGCTGCCTCTGTTTTGTATACGACTATTATATCCAGCGCTTTCGCTAACAAGTGCGGTTTTAATTTGCATAATAAAGTAAAGAACTTTGAAATATGTTTAAATTTTAACGAGTCGCATGCGGCGTAACATTATAATATTTAGCTGAGATACTTTTCCCTTATTTTGTCAGAGATGTGTTTATAAATATTTTAAACACCCATGTTATGTCTCTCGTCATGTTCTATAACGAGATATATCTGTACGTATATAACTGGCGCAAGTGTGCCAAAGAAGGCTATAAACTTTTATAACCGCCACCCGAGAAGCGGATGTTGAAATCTGGTAGTCACTTAATGCAAAGCACCGCGCGAAGAATCGATCTTCAGGCTGATCGAGGCATTAGAATGCGACTCGAGCCACGAGCGATAGTCAAAGATGGCCACGATCACCGTTTCCGTAAAATCGCTCGCTCTCACGGACATCATTAGCGCCAATCACATGCATAAACGGATAGACCGACTGCGGAAGTACGAAACGTTTCAACGATGCATATAGAGCTACACGAAATTTCAGACGACGTGGATCGACTCTCGCTACGGCAAACTACTTTCGAATGCGAGCCTCGAGCGTCCGACTACTTGTCAAGCAAATTCGCATTACTTCCAGTATTATGATCGCTCTTGTAGTTACCGGCATACAACACCCGCGGTAATAACTCTCCGACTTGCGCATTCCGCATACTCATCGCTACGGTAACGGTGGCTTACTCTACCTATCTGCGTCCCCGGGCGCAAAATAATAAGACGCTTGTTTTACCAATGATACATTTTCAGAGATGGAATACAGTCAAGAATTTCGAAGTTATTCATATCGGGCATTGCGAATGAACATGGTTTATCCGCGAATAACTATCGGAGAAAATGCGTAGGAATTCAAAGGCTACTCATAATTAACTCTTTCACTATCAGTCTGTGTGACGTGTACAAAATATACAAGCATTGATCGATGTCATTAAAATATATATTTATATCGAAAAATATTCTTCTGATCTCGCACTTCTTTCTCGGTAATTAAATATAATTATGTTTAAGGTTTGTCTTATTTTATAATATTATGGCAAGGCTTTTCTAAGTATACTGAGATAACAACGGAAAAAATAAATCACATGTTTCCTAACTTCTTGATCAATCTTAACTTTCTGGTTCAGCGAATATCATAGTAAAATATCACGAACAATAGAAGATTATCGACGTCACTGTCCAAAAGATGTGGATTATACATCATAAGCAAAACATTTTCCTGGTTCCGCCCCCCTCGTCAAACTTCACCGAGAAGATCGAACTCTCGTATTGGACCGACTTAAGGTAATCCGCCGTAAATAATGCACATCGCCTAGATGCGGCGCTTTCTGAACCGCCTCTGCCCCAAGAGCGCGAAAAGCCGCCGTGAAAACTCGTTGAGCTCTTTCGCTATAAGTTTGGAAGACATTCCCCCAACTCCCGCACATTGGTATCGACCGGCTTGCAGTGGCATCGCCCATCCGCTACTATAAAGCCTGCGTTTAGCAGCATTTCACACGAGAGCACGCGTCATCGACTCGACTTACGTGCTATCTCGTCTTCTGATACGAAAGTTTCGCGGTTTACGTCGCCGAAAGATAAAGGAAAAAAGCACAAAACGAGAACGTCATCTCTTGCAATAGATCAAGAGGGGAACAATGCGCCGAGAATTGTTCAGACGAGCAGAAGAACGGATTGGGCTAAACACATCGAGCCGAGTTTACTGCGAGTACAGATTGCGCCGATAAGTTACGAGAGAATATTTGCTCTAAATCAAGCTCAATTAATTTGATCGAAACCATATAAAATTTTCTTCACGCGATAATTTTATGAAAGCCCGATTTTCATCTGTTTACCTGGCAGATTAAATTACTACATTGTAATTTTCCCACTGTGGATATGAATAGACTACCCTATCAGCACGGTAAATTAATTCTATCACCTTGTTTGAATTTCATAATAAAGCTTCTATTCGCTCGCGTCGCTCGTATAACGGAATTGGAAATATAAAAATTAGTACGCCTGAGAATTATGTACATTTTAAACGCTAATTTGACTATGCGGCGAGAATGAGAAAAATCGCAAAAGGAAGAAGAGTTCTACGACAGCTCGGTACGCTGCGGAAAGAAATGGGTCAACCTGAATATTCCCAACGAACTTTCTATGAATACGCCATGCACTAGTGCTAGATGGCGGTCAAGGCATACGAAAGAGCATGGGCAGCCACGAGGAACAAAAAAAGGTTTGAATAGATAGAACGGATAAAGAATAAAAATTGCATTTTAATTATACATATAATTACTGTTTGAGATAAAAAATCGCGCGCGCGGCGCGCGCGCGCGCAAAGATTTTTTAAGAATTGTGTGTAATTCTTGAAAAATATTTCTAATTTTTTATTTTAAAACATAGTTTTGGAAATATAAGAGAGAGTTAAAAAAAATATATATATATATATAAAAGAGACTTTTTTCTAATGGTTAAATTCTTTAAATGTCCCTCTTTGACTTTCTTTAATACAAAGACTTCAAATTATGTACATATATCTAACTATGTGAGCTACTTTTAGAAAGCTGCTTATCCGTGGATTGGTGGTAGAACAATGTTGGTGATTGCATACTTCATTTTCACGGAGGCTAAAAAATTGTTTCGCTATCCACGAACATTAATTCGCAATCAATATTTTTAAATCGTGCACGTACCGTATGCGTAAGTGGACAGTAACACAATCTTTTGTCCAGCGTCAGTGAGCGTAATTACTACTATGCGGGATTCACAAACAAAGAGTCATCTAAATATACTTCGTGATTGGTCTAGTTTTATTCTTTATATTTTGAAAACCACTGTTTAGAATAAAAAATTGCAAATATTTTTATTTCATTTTTCAAAAATTCTATCCGTATTTTGATTCAAAATTTGGGACAATAACACAAACGTATACAGAGTACCCTAACGTTAAACAATCGATTTTCACATTTTATATATTCTATGGATAGCAATAAAAAAAAGCATATTATGTGTTAATTGGAAATCTCAATTTCTTTCCGATCCTTATCTTCAGTATTGCGACACGAGCTATTTTCTACCAGTACAGTCAAGAATGTCATTTAGCGCAAGAAACTCGTTGACAAAACGGAAATGGGGACCGAGCGAAAAGCGATCGGGCGACCCGTCAACAACAGTGCGTCTCCGACGGTCGCGCCCGGTTATTTACCCTGATGAAATCGCAGCTTTGTATTCCTACACGATCGATTGCGCGCGAGAAGATGTGCAAAGAAGAGAACGACAGAGCGACCGACCTCTTGTGAAGCGTGAGGAGGACGGGACGCGGGCAGGCGAGAAACGGAAGACGGTGTAGGAAAGAAAAGAGGAACCGGTAATAGGCATTTGCGCTGTTGAAAAGCCGTGGAAAATCAATTATCGGCCGTGCAAAGGGGTGGAAAATTATATCGATAGGCGCCGAGCGCGCCGAAGGTGTACCCTCCGTTTTCCTCCTCCGAGCCTTCCAAACACCGTTATCGGTAGCAAACAGAGACTGATCCTTTGACTGCGATCTCAAATGTGGCTGATTGCTCAGAAGAATAGTTGGATGCTCTGCGATACACAATTAAGAGAGCACAGTGGCAAATTATCATTGGGCAAGTTGAGAGAAAAAGAGTTTACTTGCAACAGAAAAAAATCAGACCCAATTATTTTTTCCTATTAAACTTCACACACAATTTAATTGAATAATTTTACTATTTGCAAATTAAAAAGTTGATTGTAACAGATAAATTCTTCAAAAAAGAGTTAATCTATTTAATGTGTATATTGACATTATTACATCCTTCTCGTATCGCGTATTAATTTCTTCGACGTGGAAAATGCATATAGAGCTTTATCTAACAATTATAAAAAAATTAAATATTTGTTCATTCATACATAATTGGATATTTAATTCGCTATTTCAGCAGAATTAAAGATATACGAAAAACATACCGTTTAGAACGTGGACGGACACCATGGTGGCTGCTGCTACATTCGCCAGGGCGCAGCTGTAATTCCCGCTATCCTTTTTATTCGCATTTGCGATGTAGAGCCTAGACACCGCACCGGCTGCACCCATGTCCGTCTTGACACTAAAACAGAAAGCAGAATGCTCTGCATAATCCTTGATAATGGTGCTATCATCACGCTTGTTATTACAGAATAGACATTTCTTTTTCTTCATTTTTATCGCACTCGACAATTATCAGAATGAAAAAAAAAAAACGAGTAAAGTAATTTAGCTTAGAAAAAATATAATAATATAATTGCTATTAACTCATCACATGCCAGATAAAAAATGTATAGTTAAATATATGGATAAAATCGCTCAAAGCAAAATGTATGACGATACAAAAAAGATCATAAAAAATTTTACGCTCTTATATTTTATTCAAACAATTAGTAAACTTTCATTTCATATACTGAATATTACGTATCCGGAATTTTGCGATGTTAAAAAATAATGTTCCGGTTGATGACAATAATTTACGACGATAGCACAGGTGGCCATGAGAGCACCCTTGAAAGGCCTTTGAAGAAAAGAAAACGGGGGTAGTTTACATCAGAAATTTATCACTCGTGTGAACGAAAGACTTTTTTATACCACGCCGCAACAGAGGGTAGTAAACAGATTCGCCCCGCAGTTCACAACCACAATGTAGACAAACAAAATAACCTGCTCACTCCACGTGTAACCTCTAAAAAATTGTACGATGCGAATCTCTCCTCGCGGAAAAAAGCTTATCTAAAACCTGCATACACAAAGTGTGTGTATCCCCCCCTCCCCGCCGCCCCCCAAACTACATCCTATCAAATATATAAAAATTTATATTTCACAAAGTTCTCATTTATTATTTTGAAAATATTCATATGCCGAAATAGATGGGAATATGCAAAGAAAATAGAATAAATGGTGTCGGCGTACAGCGCAAAGTTCAATCGCAGTTCTGATATAAGTTTTAAATAAATGTGTTTATTTAATACATAAATATTCCAGTTCGCTAATTTACAGATAAGCAATTAGTTTTTCCTGTCTCTTCTCAAAATAGTTTATAGTGGATTTAACGAGTTTTACAACTACAAGCCTCGAATATAATCATTTCTAAGAAACTTCCTAAGAATCAGAAACTCGTTAAGGCACTGCGGAGAAATATTCAAGAGCAAAAGTTACGCGGTAACGAATCAGTTTCGAAACCTCCACGGTTCGAGATAGGTTTTATTAAGAGGTGGGAATATCGATAAACATCGTACTGCCTGTGAAAATAACTATGACGGTGTATATTTGGTGTTATCATATTTCAACTTGTTTGAGGAAAAATACAAGCTTAACTTAACTCCATTAGCGTGGACGAAAGCCATTCACGTTTTTAGCGAATTAAGCTGATGAAATAGAGCATTCAAGAGAAGAATAAGGGAAAGGCGGGGAGGATGTTCCGCGAGCGAAGATGGAAGAAAGGCGTAAATCAAGTAGTTCGCCCTCTAGCAGCTGGCCTTGACAGATCGAGCGCTCCTCCCAAGCTTTCGCACTACTCCTTCCTCCCCTCTTCTTCCTACTTCTCGAGCAAAAAAGAAAGAGAATAGAATGGTAGCACACGTTGCATACGCAGTAACGCCGTCCGTATTAATTTCACGTGGCATTATCCCGTACAAGTTACGTCTCTGAAGCGTTGCTTGCATAACGCATCGCGCAAAATTAAATATTTCACTTGTTGCAAGCCCGCGTGCAACTTCGAGGAATTTCCTATTCCGAGCTTCGTGTTACGTCGGAGAGAAAAATTGGATCCCCGGGAAGATACTAAAGGCGAAGAAAGCTGCTGCGCCACGTATAAAAGAAATAGGCAAAGAACGAGCTGTCTCGCTTTGAATTTTTGAATGTTTAACGATGCGTGATGGTTGCTTTAGACGTACTGTGTACGTTGTGCAAACCAAGTTTTGTAGAAAGATCTCGTAAGGAAAACAGGATGGAAGTAAGATATAAGCAGGAACTACCGCATGGATTGCCCGCGCGTATATGGCGCGGAGAGAGAAGTTGGATTTTAAAAGAGCACAAGGTACTGAGAACACGGACATGCCGATGATGTCGGAAAAGAGACAGTAAGCATACATGCTGTACGAACAGAGGAAATGGTTAGGCCGGTTAAAGAATTCATTCAGATGGCTCGGATGCCGTAAAAAGCGTTTCCCGGTTTCTTCCTCTCTTTCTCTGTCCCGCTGACGATCGCATCACGTTTCATCATTTCGCCAAAACCGATATAGTCCTATAGAGCGAGTACGCGTTGAGTGCTTCCCAAGAATGCAGCGAGAGTGTTAGAACGTTAAAAGCACTTGTTGCCACGCCGTTATCATTATCGTTGACACCGCGCCGTGTTTCCGGCCTTTTCAGCTCGTCATCGCCGCACGTAAACAAGATGCTTGCGAATATTTCGCTTCAAATCGGATAATACGCACTCCGATTATCAAGAGCATGAATTGTGGCCTTTAACCCTTTGTGGCCGCAAATCGGAACATTCCCATTCAAAGCTTCTGTTGCAAACACATGTCGGAAGGATTCCGATATCGTTTTCAATCGATTATATCAGGAATATAGCATCTCCTTTTCTTATTGCTTGTTTTACGCATTCTGTGTACTACAAATATAACAAAGAGAAATAAAAAGTTAAATACTTCGGCACAAATAACACGTATGAAAAATACTGTTTACAAAACACAGCTCAAGTAGAAACTGATAAAAATAAGAGACTTATAAAATACTTAATTATTTATAGGCGCCTCAAAGAGTAAAAGAAAATTACGAGTAAAGTCAATAATAAAAAAAAAACTAAAAAAATATTTGATTGTAAAAAGGCTATGCATCTTAATCTTTTCAAATTAAAAGAAAGCCATCGTTCGAAAGAGGAAAATATTTTACGGAAGCAATCGAGAGGAAAGAATGCACGGCCATGGCAGTCAACGAGCGGAATGTGCAGGGCGATTCGTGTACTGCATATGCAAGGGGTCGCTTTATCCATCAGAGAAAGCCAATGCAGCGACTCGCGGTAACATTGATCCGGCCGTTCTGGACCACAACCGAAATTTTCCAACGATTGGCATCCAGGGACAGATCACATGCCATTTGCCGTTCCACAACCACTCTTGCACGCGGCGGATACACATCCGTCACGCAGTCGGCGTGCCGGCACAGCCGTTGCATGCGATATAGAGATTTTGCAGACACTTGTTTTATTATATTTAATTTAAGCGGAAATGCGTTTCCGAATTTGTTCGCGATATCTGTCGACGCATCGCTATTTAATTCGCGACCAACAACAAAACATGACTCACAGTATTTGACACAGGGAGACCTAAATCGGCGATGCACGGATTAACTAAACGTAAAATGCACAAACCAGCGTGAATTTTTTCGCATGTCGCGCGCTCTCGCATTTTACTTGTCACGCGACAAAATAGAATCGGGCAATACTCCTCCGTTCCTAATTCATTCGCATCGCTCTTCCATACTCGAAAGAATTTAATTTCGCGCATTGTTCTTAGCTTGTCTGTGTTGCACACGGCATCACAAGAGAAAATATCTACGAGCAGGAAATCCTTTCAAAGATATGTGCTACAAATATTCATTGCAACATCGCGCTGCAATATCGTACTGATACTTAATAAATGAATCTCCAGCACAACTGTTCTTTTTTTTCAACTGCTATTCAACGCGTTATTAAATTTTGCGAAATTAAACATACACAAATTGTTAAATTAACGTTAAATTATTTCATTTATATATATTTATTTAACTAGTTAAATGCGTTTCTTTATTTGTCATTTTTTAATTAAGTATTTCATATATTATCAATACTTCATTCGAGGGATAGTTTTCAAATTTTATTTGAATGATAAATAAGTTATTTTTTAATTTGAAGAATTAGCATTCCTAGTTTTTCTTGAACTTAAATATTCTGTTTAAACAAAAGCGGTTAGAGAGATGTTCTCTTTAATCAATGAAATCAATGATTGTTTTATTTTACCATAAACAGATTAACGAAGGAAAAGCGTTATTATTTCGAATGCAACAAAATCCATTTACTTAATCAATGTAATATTTCAGTTTATATAACGTTTTTATCGCAGTACACGCCGCATTCACATTCACAAACCAAGCCGTCAGCTTATCGCATACCGAACCACTGGTGTAGAACTATTCCGTTGTAGATCCATTTACTATCTTCCTCTTTCCTCCCTTCCAGCCTCTCTCCCTCTGTCTCCCTCTCTTCACAGAACACAGTTTTTTTCGCTATGCCGTGGAATTTAATTCGAGCATAGAGCGCAAAATTTATCCTCAAATTCCTCTACACACAACTTTGCCCACTCGCGAGCTCCACCTCCTTCGCGTTCGACCTAGAAATTTTTTTCCTACCGCTTACGGTTTCGCAGTGAATTTCGCAGCGGCAGTCGAGTGAACGTAGAAATTTAAGAGCTTCCAGTCTATTTCGCTTCTCTAGCTGATTATTCTTTCTTCTCTTTTTCTTTTCCCTTTTATGACGCGTTACATGAGTGAAGCGATACGCACGCAATGTGCGCGCTTGTGCCGGTACGTGCATCTTTTAACGTCAGAAACAGAAAACAGTTGGTAATGACGTGGTTTTACGAACATCATAAAAGGGTTCTGGCGTGAAAATTATCCAGCGGAATGCGTCATAAGCTAGAAGAAAAAGCTTGGCAGAATATGCAGTTGTATAAAGGCAAATGCTCTTATAAGAAGCTGATGATTATATTCCATGAAAAATGTGTGTGCTTCTACGTATTATCTTCTTCGCGAAGAAGTCCAAAAAAAGCTTCACAGAGTACTGGAGATTTTTATTGCGTCGTAATTATGGATCATATTTATCCAATCAGAATAGAGGAGGAAAAGGAGCAGCATCTCTTGATGTACACGCGGGAAGCACCCTCAAACTGAATTCATTGTACGGACGGAGCGCTTTACTATTCCTCTTCTGTTCTTCATTTCCGGCAATAAGTACACTTTTCTCCAATGCCTTTTAGCGCAGAAAAGAGCTCGCTTCTCGAACCACAGTCGAGCGATTTCATCAAAGCTCCAACGCAAAAG